TGGAAACCGTTACTAATTTGTTATGATATACAATGTAACGAAATAATGATCATAATCTAATATGAAGTTCTAAGAAAAAAAAAATAATACTAATTTGATTTTCTGTTTATTGATCTAACTTTGCTCTCGTCAAATTATTTCAGCCGAGTGCACTTATGTTTTAAAGAATAGGATAAAATAGGATTAAACTGAATCTGAAATAGATACATATTGACACAGATATATATTTTATAATTATGTATTTTATATATTTATATTATAATATTTAATTTATTTGGGTTTCTAAGACAAAATGGAGACGCAAATTATCATATACCGAAGACATTTATTATTTGATCTATCCCTCTACTATTTCTAAGCAGCCACTCCCTTTAAAAGCAATCTCTGAATTTCTCGGCAGTCACTCCCTTTACAGTGATTATTAGGCAACGTAACCCTTTTAAGAGTTCGCTAACCGGACACTTTATTTTAAAGGGACTTATAGACAGAAACTCTGTAAAGGGAATTTAGTGCACACACTCCAAATTCCTTTTTCTAGGCAATCACTTCTTGTAATGGAATCACTAGGCAAACACTTCCTTTTAAGGGATTTCTAAGCTGACACTCTAGTCAAAGGAATCTCTATGCAAACCACTCCATTGAACTGATTTTACCTGTACTTGTGTCAAAATCTCCTCCTACGTCATCTAAAAGACGATGATGATCTTTAGCTTCAGTCTCTAAACAACAACAAATTGTTCATTGTTCATTCACTAGAATTTTCAAAATGGCGGAACCAATTAGACCAAGGGTTCATCTTGAGATTTCACTTTGAGGGATATTAGACTATAATGTTATTTTTGGCAGATTTTAGGGACTAAGAAAGCTATTTCCGGCAGATTTGATGATGAATAGCCGGGCCCTGCATAAACGTAGTGTTGTTAATAGTTTTTGATCGTTTTTAGAAAAAAATAAATCTTCCAAGATTTCAAGACTGTATAATGTTGAAGTTTCCTTTTTCTGATCTTTGTAATATCTTTATCCTAAACTCTAAAAAAGATCGTTTTTGCGTCTTCTTAGTTTTTTTTGCATGTATCTTCTGCCAGGATCAAAGTTAGACATAAAGAAAGGCAAATGTTTAGAATTTTGACCCTGAAAGAAAATATAGCAATAAAAAAGACCCAAAAACGAGCCGATTGAAAGCACATACCTACATGTATGGCACATTTGATTACTAAAGTTAAACTACACGCCTTAAACTTTAAAATTGTGAAAAATATTGAGATTAGACATGTTCGTCAAAGTACAATTTTAACACGACATTAATGGCCCCTTGGTGGGTTAATAACAAACCCACCTAAATTATGTTATATTCAAAATGTACACAAAATCCCAGGTTTTGTAAACCGTGCTCCCCTTTTCAATTATAAAATTGTTCGTTAAGAGATGAAGAAAAATTATGCCAAACAATGTTCACCAAGATTAGTCCTAGATGAACCCCTGAACAAGACCTAAAGACCCAAGCGATAGGTCTCCGCTAAGATTTAAAATTCCCCTTGAAATGTCGTAGTTCTGAAAATTTCAAATCAAATCTGAGATCTTTCCTTTAAACTAAATGGCTTATCATTGTTTTGACAATATTATAAATATTAATAAATCCACTCTCTTATCAAGTATGCAGAAAAAATTCTATAATATCCATATCATTTTGTAACTGCAGGGACCCCTTTTATTTGTTTAAATAGAAGAACAACCTGAAGTTGCAGACCGGAAATTATGGACAAAACTAAGTCTTCGATAATAATAAGTTCTTTCAATAAATAAAAATCTGATTAGTTGTTTTTAAGGGGACTTACCGATATCAAACGCTAACGACTTGAGATATGCGGCTTTACTTGACAATCTTTCCTGGTAGTCCCTGAAGTATAGTTATTGAAAATTAACGACCAGAGCACGAAACCCGGTGTCGGAGCCAGCGTTTCGTATATGGGTTAAGACAGTTTTGTATATAAATTTTTTGGTTCAAAATATTATTACTTCTTTTCATTTTCTAATTTTCAAATTAATATCTACACAACTGGTTACGATGCAGTGTACATTCCTGAGAAATTAACAATAATGGGAGAAAGGATATTTCATATTTAGTTACTTTCTACATTTAAAGCTTTTAACTTTCAAGCATTTCCTGTTATTCGATTTATTTTTTACGTTTAATTTTTACCTATTCTCTTTGTCCACCGCCTCTTCACTGAGGTTGGACCAACCGTTCCTGGAACCCATATCTTCCTCTGTAACACAACCAAAATTATAGATTCGAGAACTTTCTGTATCCAATCATATTATGGAGATTTAGTAGAACATTTTCAAACCGGGAAATGTAGATAATAAGATGGACTATATTAGATTAAAACTGGAACATGTATAACAAATACTCAGTGTCCATTCTATTTTGATGCTGATCCAGATTCTGATAATGACTGTTCTGGGTTCTCAGCACTTAAAACGATATCGGCAATAGTTTGTTTAGTTTAAATTCGTTTCTAAGGTTTTTGGACTTATTAATGGTTCCACCAAAATCTTAAAATTGTAATTATTTTAAAACATTTGCTTTCCTTACACTTTGCTAAATCTAACCTTGAGAGAAGATTAATCCCAAAAAACAGTCCATTTTGGTTGGTTTTCCCGTACATTTTCCCCCAAGAAAACGAATTTAGCATTGATGAAAAGCAAAGTTTTGCAGAATACAGTTTTGAAATGTTGGAACCTTATTTTTATGAAGCAGTATTTTGTTGTAACTACTAACTGTTGTAGTCCAAAAACCTTTACGTCTAAAAACTAAGAAACAAGTTATTGCCTGTCAATATTTGTAACTTAATTATTGATTAAAAATTCGCTGGAACAAAAAGAATTCAACAAGAACATTTTTAAAATTTATCAGTTTTATATTTAACAGATATGATATTTCATCGATTGATTCTTTGGTCCAAGTTTATAATAATAATACAATGGGACTCACCCACTCAGTTTTTAGTTTTATTCACATTAAATTTTTCAAGATTTTTGCAACAATTAGCGGACTTTTTTTAATTAGGTGAGCCCCTGAAAAAATGTATTGACTTTGTATATGCTGAACAGTGTACACAGTACAGCAGTACAGTACAAAAATTTACCAAGAAAGCTTGTGCAAATCAAACAATAATAGTTTAGCACGAATAGTCAGGAAAAACATTGAAAGCACACATAGTAAACATCACATAGTCACAATCTTTGGCACATTAAGCTCAGGTCACATCACACAATTATAAATATAAACATTTAATATGGTCAGTTTAAAGTGATAGCTTTAAAAACTTGTAATAAAGGTTGATTAAAAATTTAGCGACCGTACCTATACTTTTTTATCCTTGTTTAAGAATTGCTGAAATTACTTTTCGAATAAAAGATCGTTGGATCTTAGAAGATTCCTGGATCTTCTTCTTGCGAAGTTTGGATAGAATTGGCTTATCCTAACTCAATCTTCATATGATCGTTAATTTAGTGGCATAAAATTCCAAAAGACAGAATTACCGTGAAACCACTTTGGGACCCACGATAATAATGTTTATTTTAAGTTATTAAAGCTATCAAATGAAGTTAAGCAAATCACAAGTCAAGTTCATTATATGACATCAATATTGACTACAAAGCCATGGATGAATGAAGCAGTAATTAAAAATATTTTCCAAGCTTTAAACGCAAGCACAAACATTTAATACTTAATAAAATCATGCATTAAGTTTGGTCTATTGATCAAAGCTGAAAGGGATTATCAGTGCTATCGGATCTTTCATGTGATCTTCAAATCAAAGAGAAGGATTTCTTCAATTAAGCGATTGGAAATTGATATTTTACGCTGGCGGATTTTCTCGATAGCAACTATTATTCCTATTCTGTTGATCATTTGGAGATATCGCGATAGAGATGCTGTACCCTGAAATCTATGAATAAATTGTTTATTTAAAACAATCAATTATAATGACGTTTAATCATTTAAGATTGCATTGTTTAGGTTCCAGCAAGTGTGAAGCTGATGCGGACTTTTCTCCTGGTGTTCTGATTTGTCCAGATCTTCTCCACTAGTCCCTTGTCCTACCGTGGAGCAGATTGTCAAGCTAGAGTCTAGGACGGAACTAGAACCAGGACTCAGGTTCAACTCACGCTCGTCTTCCAAGACAAGGTTCTCCTAGATAAACGTTTAAAAAGCATGTTCATAGAATTTTTTTAACAAAAGCAGGCCCGTAGCGATGTGGGGGGGGGCACAGGGACACGTGTACCCATTTTCCACAGAAGGGGAATATTATCTGAGAAAAAAAAGTCTTTACAGATATTTGCTCCATTTTTGATGCTACTTTCCGTCCTAAAAATAATTTTCGGCTATTCATGCAAGTAACAATTTTCTGTATACATTCATTCTTTTATGGTTTCTAGCCTTTAACTCGAATTATAACTTGATATCTATTCTGTACATCTTTATTCCTTTAGTTATGAAGGAAATAATGAAAGGCAGTTTTGTGTTTTGCAAATACAAAATATCTTTAATTTAATAGGTTTGTGTTAAACTTTAATAGACTTGTGTTAAACCAGCCAAAATATCATATAAACTAAAATATTGATGTAAGTCAGTTAAAAACAAACATTTTCTGAGACTTTTATAACTTTAAGCCCAACCCCCTTTTATTATTTCTAGCTAGAGGCCTGATCAAAATATATGTTAATCAACTTACTGTATTTAATGATTGATTGGATACTGCTAGATGAAGGATCTTCTTCCTGTCCTCTAGATACATTTCAAGGAATCCTTGGAGCTTCTCATCAATATTATCCACCTGTCTTTCCACATTCACTATTCTTGAGGCCAAACTTGTCTTTGAGTCGTACACATCCTTAGCCTAGAATTTGAATTAAGACTTAAATGTGGCAGAGCTTAAAACTCTAGAATTGGATACCTTTAATCCCAAACACTATATTTATCTTTCCCTGCCAGTTTGCGAGCAATGAGAGTTCACTAATAAAATGGAGCGCAAAATTTCAAATTTCCCGGCTTCTCTGATCTGCTGATCTGGTTTCTCCAAACCCAATTCTATTGGTCGAGTTATATATAGTTTTGTTGATAAAAACTTAAGATTAAGTTAATCTTGAAATTAACAAAAAGAGAAGATGAAGCATTGATTTCGATATCCACAATATTTTAGCTCAGGAAAGGAAGGCGAGGAAGATTTTGCCGAGAATTTCCCTAATGAACTTAAAACTTATTTTCGGAGCATTGGGGAACATAGAACAATTTTTCTTTCTAGAAAAATATTTAGCTTCAAGAAGAACTAAGGGATGGGCTGGGGGGAGGGGGGGCTGTTTAACTAACCTTAGAACCATCTTTGCCAAGGATCAAGTCAAGACGATTCTGGACACTCTTAACTTTTGTCACCAGGTCGGAGTGACCGGCAGAGTAGCTTTCTATCACATCCTAATCAATAATCAACATTTAACTTCTTAACTTGATGCAACACTCCATACAAAGGTACCCTTAAAAGCTTTGTATGAATAAAAAGTACATGTTTTGTTTTTGAAAACTGTTTATGTTGATTTGTGATTACTCTGCAAAAGTGACTTGCGCATTTCTTGTTTGTAAGAAAGATCAGATTTTAACGCTTTTGATCAGATTAAGGTGTCAAGGGCACCGTTGTAAATCGGACATGAAGGATCACGTGAAATTACGCTTACAGTCCCTTTACAGGATACTTTAAGTCTTCTAATTATGATTAATTAATTCTTTATGCTTAAGGGGTTTCAGAACGCCTTGGGCCTCTTTCTAGCAATAGTATTATTGGTTTCTTCGAGAATATAAAATTTACATTTTCAGGTCTTGTTTTCTGTTCACAATGGTGGATTTTCAGAAGAGGAATTTTAATATATTTTTTTTATTTCGACTAATCATCGTCATTTAACTTTTCTTGGATAATGTCAGATGTACAAAAAGTTTAAATCTGATCGGTTCAGCCGTTGATACGTTCATTTGTATACAAACAGAGAAACCAACCATGGATATTAAATAAAAATAAATGAATGAAAAAGCGTTTGAAAAAAATTTCCAAAGATTAGACTCTTTTAATATTTTAGGAATTGCTAATGATGACGTACTTTCTTCAATGTAGAAGTAAGGCGACTAGTTTTTTCTCTCAAGCCTCTTATTCCCAGTATTAGTAATTATAACAAATACAATTATCTTGTACTAGATAAAAAACATGTTTAACATTGATCTTTAGTTTCTCTTAGATTAATATATTTCGAGTGTGGGGGGGGGGGGGGAGATATGACTTGTAAAATATTACTATATCTGATACAAAAAGTCTTGCTTTACCTCCTTCACTGATTTAAATTTTATCCTTACATTCCCATTTATTAAATTGGCCAAGCCGCCAGGTATAAAAGTAATTTTTGGTTGACATTTACCATGCTTTATGAAAAGACGAGCTAAATAAAGAGTTTTAACAAAATGAAATTTCAGATCAAAAGTATTGACAATTGAAATAAAATCTGTTATCGGTTATAATTGGGTACCGTTTTTAACAAAAAAACTCAATTAATATACCGTTTCTAAAACAAAAATTTACCTTGATATCGTAGGGTTTGAGCGCTTCTTTGAACTTTCGTTTGGCGACTAAATATTTGAGTTTACGTATTGCCCTAATAGCACCCTGTTGAAATTGGATTCGTTACAAAACTTTACTTAACCATTTCTTCTAAATCCTTTGACATGGACATCCGAAATTCTGCCAGATTCCCAGTATTAGCTTCTTGCCAAACTATGTTTACTAAGGACTTATGACAAGTCACCACCCTGCTCATCACATTTAATTCAATTTGCATGCACCAATAAAATTCCTTTCCCAGCTATACGTTTCCATAGACATCGAATAAACTTAGTCTTACTCTTTTAGCTTTTAAATGTTTAAAAAAATGATTCGTATGATTAAAAATATGTAAAACAAGTCCTTGTACTAGTTATTTTTTTATGTGGGTGTTCATTGATTTAATTCAGTCTAAAAATCGTAAAAAGAAGTTTATGTGATTATTTTATTTTCTGACAATTTTGAAAAACGTACCAATATCTAGTACTTTTATTAATATTGTAAGTAAACTGATCTTTATTGTTGGGGGGGTCTTCCTTTAATATTGTTTTCAGTGGAGTTACATATTTTAAAAATAAGACAGGGTGTCCCAGAAAACAGTAAATTTGCTACAAAATTACATGGGTCTTTGATCGAAGTGGCTTTTTTTCGTGAACAGCATAATGTTCGAAATAAAAATAAAATGTGATTTTAAAAATGTAGTCTGCAATTTTTCTTGCTCCGTTATTGGCCTGAGATAGTGAAATTTGTTACGAGTTCATTTTAACTAATGAAATAATAGTTAGCAATATAATTCTCATTCAAATTTAGAGTATTAAGAAGGAGCAAACACCATTTTTGATTTGATAACCTCTTCACAATTATAATAAGTAATGAATCCATTTAGTGCCTTGTGCTTGTGAGTAAGAAGAAACGGTAAAGTGGCCAAACATTCGTCATCGTCATCGGAGAACCTTCGAGAAAAGGGTTCAGAATTTTTTCTGCTCTGTCGTCCCTCGTCAAAGCATGTTTCAGTCTCTACTCTCAGCTTGGTTCTGAAGTGCTCTAAGACTGGAGATTTCAAGGAGTGTCGTGTTCTACGGATTGAAAGTCTGTGAACGAATGAAGTGTTGTTCTTGAAAGATGGCGGAGACTTCGGCGGAACCATGTGAATCCTCCAGGTTGCAGAACTACTATGCCCGTCGGTCACGGCGTAACACCGCCACAAGCATTGTATAAGCGTAGCGGCGGGAACCCGCCGACGTATCATGTGTTTCTGTCTCTGCTGTTGCTGAACCTTCAAGGCAAACCCTGATCCAAGAATTCCGGCGGGAAGCGCAAAAAACGATATTCCGGCAATAGCTGAGAAGCTTGCAATGATTTTACCCTGCCAGGTTTTAGGAGTTATATCACCGTATCCTACTGTACAGAGAGTAATAACACCCCACCAGAGCGCATGAGCGAAGCTTTCAAACTCGAGATTTACATCCTTCTCCGCCAGGTACATCACGAAGGAGGAGAAGATGAGGATTAAGAATGCAATGTAGAGGGTTGTGAGCAGCTCCTGTCTGTGAGCATAAACTACAGAACCCAGTAGTTTCCAGGTTCCTCCACGTCGATCCATCCGCACAAGACGGAGGATCTGGAAGAACCGGAGACCTCGAAGCGCAGAGGCTGCGTAAACCTGACCTCCAAGCCCGGATAGGACTACAATAGAAGCGCATATTGTAACTATGTCTATGATACAAAATGGACATTTGATAAACTTCAGTCTTCCTAACAATCCCTGGTACCTGGACCTGCATCCTGAACATAAACGTTTTTCAGAACTCATGATTTAGAAGCGATAAAAATCCACAAATTAAAATTAAAAATATATTTCTTCCAACAACTTTTATACTTTTGTGCAAAATAACGTCCTCAATTAACCTTTTATTTTGATGAAAAATGTTTAAAATTGAGTTACCAAGTATGACCTAATATATTGAAGAAAATTAGAATAACATGGTTCATGAAACTATTACATTTGCAACCAATTTAAAAGACAGTTAAAAGAAGCACTGAGGGAGGGAGACAATATAATCTGTTTGGGTAGAGAGTACAATCTTAACAGAAGTAAGAAAATATTACGAATTGCAGAGCATTGCAAAAATGGGGAAGAAATATCATCTTTCTTTTTTTCAGTTTTTACTATTTAGACCCAAATAAAGAATATAGGCACAATTTAAGTAAAAATGCGTTGTAATTTCCAGCAGGAGTGTACACTACGTTTTCTATCAAAAATTCATTTTCCCTCAATTCAGCGAATAAAACATTTTAAAATCTGGGGGTGGTGGGATTTTGAATTGTGAAGGAAATATACCCTTAACTAAATAAAACTGAAGAAGGTAGTAGAAAATAAGTACTTACTTACTTGGTTACTTGTACTCCTTGATAAATAGGGTTACCAGATTTTATTGAGAATAAGAAAATATTTTTCAGTGTGAGGAAGGGATCACATTTAAGTAAAAATATACACCCCTGGGTATCAAACATATTAAACTAACCTGCCGACCAGAGTCTAACAGTGAACTCGATACTAAACCAGATCACGATAACTATCTCGAGACGGAACAAGATCTCCCCCGCCTCAACCTCATGCTCCTTGATCGTAGAGAACACGGAGAGGGCGATACACACGAACACGAGGCAGAACACGAGCACGTGATACAGGATCTCATATCTACTGTTTGGTCTCTCCAGAAAGTTATAAGCTTTAGATTGTATTTTCCTAAACGCAACATTCTTCCTCGACTGTCGAATAAACAGAGTATCACCCATGAGATGTGTCAGGGATAATAAATATTATATCTAACATAATTTCTGTAAATAATATTAAGGATAAATATAAAAAGGGTGGGTCTGTCCTTTTGAACGATTTTTGGACCACCCCCTTCTATCAATTTTGTACATGCCTGACTAATTTTCAGCAAAATTATAGTTTATTTTGTATTATATAGGGGTAGGTTAGGACATTTTCTGACCGATCGCTGCGGCTAGGACATCCCCCCCTTCCTATCAATTTTGTAAATGGATCTCATATGTTACATATGGATATAATTGGTCATCTGGCTGCAGCGCCCGGCCCCCTAGCCTGTTCTAGCTGGGGTGCTCGACCCCCTAGCATGGCCTAACCTAAGATATGGGCTAAGGAGGGGGGGGGGATCTTAGTCATCTTATAAATTAAACGAGCAGCATTAAGGATAATGGGATCCGTCCTATTGTACGGTTTTAGCCCCTCCCCCTGAACATGATCAATATTTTTCAATAAAATTAACATTATTTATTTTGTAATATTTCGGGATTAGGTTTTGACACTTTCTGGGCCAGGAGCGCTGCGGCTAGGATATTCTTGGGGCCGAGAGCCGCGGCTTAGAGAAGCTAGGGTAGGAAGATGGAAACCCAGTGGGGGGGGGGTCCAAAAAGCGAACAATAGGAAATTAAAGGGTGGTGAAGACATTAACACAAAATTAAACCCAAAATTGTAAATGACCTTTAAGCGCTTCACGGTCAACATGAATTAAAGACTCTGTGCATAGTCTGGAATTTTTCCACGTTTAAATTTAATTAAGAATAAACATATTCATAAAATACTAATAAAAAATATTTTCACTGAACTGCGATCTTTAAATAGTCACTTTAATCATGAACTTGACTTTATGGGTCCACTTGAATTCGCTTCTAAACCAGGGTGCCCAACTCTAAATTGTCAAAAATCCACTGAAAGGCAAATTTTTATCCACAAAATCCTCAATAAATAACTAAGAAATCCCCAGAAAATCCTCAATTTTTCCTGCAGAAAACAGCTTTTTTAGAGTTTTTTGGGAGGATTTATGAGAGTTTTTAACATTTATTTTTGTAACTGATGCAATTTCAGATCTCTTTACTGCAGTGCAAATGTTATAGTTTCATTTAAAACTCTGAAACACAAAAAGATTAAAAGTCACATTACACACTTCGAAAAAAATAGTTGCTTACAATTCAGAGCTCATGTTACATACTTTGAAAAAAATTGCCAAAAAACTAATGTTAAACCGAAATTCCAAAAAATAGTTTTTTTGATCCTATAGATTAAACAATTTTCAAGATACCGATATGAAAACAAATGAGCGTCAGTGGAATCTCAGACATCTTCAGATTGTAATATTTTGAAAAAAAAAAATTACTACTGACATTTGTGAATTTTTTCTGCCTTTAAATTAATTTTCTCGTGGAAATTTTAATTTTACAGAAAACTTTATTTCTAAAAGTTGTCCAGATTAACAATACTCATCTAATACAAACTGACAATATTTAAATTTAAAAAAAATAAAAAATGTTACAGGAAAACTTTCCTATAATTTCGAGACATGTTTTTCCTTAATTTTTGACAGAATATCAGAAATATCAGAATAAAGATTAAAATCCCCAGAATATCTACAAATCCCAAAGGGGTTTCAAAATCCCCAGATTTGGCACTTCTGGGGATTTAATCCACAAGGTTGGGCACCCTGTTCTAAACTGTAACTGCAGAAAATGATGACGAAAGTTTGGAGTCTGAGCAGAGAGCATGTTGAGACTCCATGCAGAGCTAAATTTCAGAACTCCATGCAGAGACAATACGGAGATTCATGCGGAGCTAAGTGTAGAACTTCATGCAGAGCTAGGTGGAAAAGAAAGTCCATATTGAGCTAATTTAAAAAATGATAACACAACGCGGCAAAAACGCTCAATAAATTTTCAAACGCATTCGCAAGTTCAATTTTAAATCTGGGATAACAGCTGAGAAAAACATACATGGGTTAATCAAAGCGAGTGAAAATGTCGGGAGAAACAAGTTTAAATGAAATTGAATTAAAAATCGAGACTTCAACTTTCCTCGTTGACAAGGTTAGGACAGATTATTGGGTTTAAAATAGAAGATTCGTGCCGAGCGAGCTTCTTTATCGGATTTAAGCGAACGCTAGATCCTCTAACTGAAAGAAGTGGTTTTGCTAATTGGGTGTCTAGTTAACCGTGATCATGATAACGTTTGGGGGCTATAATGAACTCTTTACAGTTAGTATGAAAATTGCTTTAAACCGTTTGAAAGGGGTGTAAACTTTTCAGAATTACTCCTCCCACTAGAAGGGAGGGGGGGGGGATTTTTTTGATGATTTGGGTGGGGAAAAGTGTAAAATGGGAGATCAAAAGGCAAGTTTTTCTATTCTTTTGATATTGATTACCCAAAGTTTCATTGTTTTCCATAAAATAATTTATTTTCCCCAATTCAATGATTAACCCTAAATAAATGCGCGCAGTTAAGCATACATAACATGAATTTCAGAAGGGGAGGGATGTTTTTTGGAGAAAAATACACCCCTTCCGTTATATTTGGTTCTTCCTACTTTTCTTTGTTCAATCAAAGGTAAAGGACGCGGGACTCCGGCAGTTAGACCTAAAGGGAGGGCTATGGGTATTTATAAAAAGTCAGAAAATTAATAAAAGATAAACACTTCTTGTTCAATTAGGTTTTGTTGAGTGAAAAATCTTCCTACTTTAAAGTTTTGTTCGGAGAAAACTTTAAGGAAGGTGTTCAAAAACAAATTAAGATTCAGGTAATTTAGATGATAAAGAAATACATTTCTCAAATCAATATTTTGTCAGCTCTACAAGGTTACCCATAAACTCTGAGAATTTAAATTTTTAACATAAAAAAGATTCTATGTACGTCTAGATATGGGTTTGACTTAGAAAACGCTTTTTGGGCCGCGACTAGGACAGGTAATAGGGCCGAGCGCCGAGGCTAGGACAGGCGATATGGCCTGGCGCTGCGTCCACTTGTCCAACCATGCTCAGGTGTTACCGATGATATTCAAGTACAATGTCGAAAGGGGAGGGTTAAGGAGGTTCAAAAATTGTTTTCTAACAAATTAACGGCACTTTATAAGTTTAAATCTACTGATAAGTGATCTATATTAGAAAGTTTCTCGTTAAATAGATTCAGCTTCGGACATGTATATTAAATTAATATATGTATATATTAATATTAAATTAACCGAATCAATCCTTATAGGGGTCGAATTAGCCCCCCCTTTCCCCCCACTTTGTAAGTGTAAACTATGATTCCCAGGAGGGTTCCCTGCGCGGACAATTTCATTATTTTTATTGTATGTCGCTTACCGGATTTATCGAGCGGTCGAACTCGTCGAAGATGATTCTGTCGGAGTTCAGACTTTTTTTGTATGGAGATTTTCGTACTCTGAAGTCTCTTCTTTGTTGGTAACCTGGGGGTTCTTTTTTTATTTTTACTAAAATTTCGACTTTTAGGATGTTGATCCGTCAGCTTTTTCAACAATTCTCAACTGGTGCAAATTTGGTGCCTTGGGTAAATACACTAAAATGTTACTTTTCGTAAGTGTATTATTATTAGATAAAAGTACTCGTCTTAATGTACCCTTTCATTGATAGAGAGAATGTCCGATTCTCAACCAAACCTTTTTATAAAACATATTTATGATCAGTATTGTGTAAGATATCGTTTTTCTTGTTTGAAAAGTGTATAAAAGTTCTGAAAAGTGTATACAAGTTCTGAAAAGTGTATAAAAGTTCTGAAAAGTGTATACAAGTTCTGAAAAGTGTATAAAAGTTAAGAAAAGTATATAAAAGTTCTGAAAAGTGTATACAAGTTCTGAAAAGTGTATAAAAGTTCTGAAAAGTGTATAAAAGTTCTGAAAAGTGTATAAAAGTTAAGAAAAGTATATAAAAGTTCTGAAAAGTGTATACAAGTTCTGAAAAGTGTATAAAAGTTCTGAAAAGTGTATAAAAGTTCTGAAAATTTTTTTTTTTTTGAGAAGAAATATGAAAGTCGCTATACTTTCATAGAGAAAATTGAAAATAAGAAATTTATTAAGAGAAAACTATGGAATCCTCGTGCATTCTTCATCAGACAAAAGCTTTACTCAGTCGATATGTCTCTTCGACAACTCATACCATTCCCTGTATCTGGTTAGTGACGTGCTTTAAGTTGGTTCGTTTTTCAGTCGTTTCAGGGTCAAGATTTGGCATAGTGTTAAGAAACGCAAATGTTTTCAAAATTATTTATTCGAAACATTTGCTTTTTTTTGTACTTTGTCAAATTTTGGCCCTGACCAAAGAAATATGCACACAAAAAAAACGAATAACGATGCAAAATTGATATTTTTTACCAAATTAATAATAACATTGTTTTAAAATGTGTATAAGCAATTAAATTTGTTTAGCAATATTAGCTATATCTTAGCCATTAAAACTATTTTATGAGTAAGTTTATCTTTTGTTCTGGAGAATGGGGGATTAAAATCAAGTATATTAAGAATAAATGAATAAGTGAATACAGTCATATTTTTACTTTATTTAGATATGTCGTCATTAGAAACTGTGAGTATAATCTCTCTGCTCAAGACCTCTCATATTCTCCTATTTGACGATGTATCCCGGAGAAGCGAGGAGACCTTGCTAACCAGGGTTGAGCAGGAAATCCCGGGATCATGTCTCCAGGTTCTCCTTGTAGCAGGGGAGCTGGGGTTGAGTAATCTTAAAAAGATTAGTCTCCGTCTTGCGGTTGATAAATTTGACAAACTTAATATTGAAGATCTGGCGTCTCTAGGAAATTATTGAAAACCGTTATATTTAAGTATGATTATTCGGGCTTTTTTTCTACTGTTTTTTTTTGTATACGTACTCACTTATGCACATTTTAATAACTATATAGAATATATAAAAAAAACTTAACTTAAAATATTCATTTGTTTAATGTCGGACCTTCAAGTTCGTATTCACTAGTGAGAAAATCATACAAGAAAATTTTTAACATTCAAATTTCAAAGACGACATTTATTCCCGTAGGAAACTAAAAAATAAACCCTGATTCCAATTCTCTCAATGGTTAGATGAAGAGACCCTGTCCGACATACTTCTGAATCCGGACCTGGATTGTAGGACGGATTCTAAACTGATCTCCGTCCTCCAGTCCTGGACTAAACACTGGAGCTTGGTTCCACAAACTTTAACAAAAAAACTTATTAAATTACAAATGTAAGAAACATCTAGAACTTCGCCATCCTTTATTATTTGAGATAAAAATATAATTAATTGACGTGCAAATCTGTAAGAATGAGAAATATTGATTTAATGATGACTAGGTCAAATGACTGCACATTGCAGATTATGAAATATGGACTTCTATTTAGAAAATACAACAGGTTGTTGATCAAATTCGATGAATTATTTAGACAATAAATGCATTAAATCATGCTTTATTATTTTTTTAGTTTTATGAAAACCATGTTCAGTAAATAATCGAAAATGATTACTCGCTCAAAATTCTTATTTTCTAATCTCTATGTTTATCCAAAGTTAACACTATCAGGTGAGGATTAAGCAAGTTTAAGATTACAGGTTTAAGGGAGTGATCAGCTCTTATTTCAATTATATTTGCAGAAGTCTGATGGAAGAAATATCAGAAACCTGTAACCTATCTCCAGCTTTCATTAGTTCCTTACACCTGGAGTATTCAACCTTTCTAGCTCACTTAGATTCACTTAAACAAATCCAGGTCGGAAATCTTTTGTATTATGACGCTTTTTATACTAATCATTTATACTAGTCATTAAACCTCATATTTGTGTTAAACTTGTGTCAAACTTGTGTTAAACTTATGTCAAACATGTGTCAAACATGGTCAAACATGTGTCAAACATGTGTCAAACATGTGTCAAACATGTGCTAAACATGTGTCAAACTTGTGTNAGGTCGGAAATCTTTTGTATTATGACGCTTTTTATACTAATCATTTATACTAGTCATTAAACCTCATATTTGTGTTAAACTTGTGTCAAACTTGTGTTAAACTTATGTCAAACATGTGTCAAACATGGTCAAACATGTGTCAAACATGTGTCAATCATGTGTCAATCATGTGTCCATCATGTGTCCATCATGTGTCAATCATGTGTCAATCATGTGTCAAGCATATGTCAACCATGTGTTAAACATGTGTCAAACCTGTGTCAAACATGTATTAATCATGTGTCAATCATGTGTCAATCATGTGTCAATCATGTGTCAATCATGTGCCAATCATGTGTCAAACATGTGTGTCTCTTGAAGTTTTAGTAATTTAATAAATTTTCTACTTTCTTTGAGCATTAAAAATATACTTTATATTTCTGTAAATACAAAATTGCATAGGAAATTTGCAAAGAATGGGGAATACTTGTTTGATCTAAAATTTAATTTTAAAGATGGAAAGTATTAAATTATTTTGAATTAAATTTAAAATATTGACTGTGTACTAACTGTTCTCACTGTAAAGGGAATGTTCATGAAAATGTTTAGAGGTTCAGAGTTCGGAATTTATGATATGTAGTAGTTGAACAACCTTTTAACCACAGCCACGTATTCAATTAAACCCTATCTCTGTTTTAACTTGATCTCAATGGGAAAAGGCTGAATTATCCGTGTCTCTTTCATAAATTCCGACCTCTGATTGTAGTTTATCTTACAGAAATATACAACAAAATAACTTTCACCTGGCCATCCCCTCTCTTCCAAATATATGCTTAGAAACTTTGAACAGAGCAGTAAACAAATCTGAGAAACAAATAATTGAAAATTAGTTCCAAGTTTTTTTTTTTTATTATGTAAATTATTTCTCATCGTCTTGTCGATATCTAATGAAAACTTTTGTACTTGCGAAGAAATGACGGATAATACCCCAGTGTTTCTTAAACATGATAGCATGTTGGCATTGAAAGCACGGTATTATGCCACCACTCAGCACAGTAAAGTATCGATTAATGCTTTTATTTTATCTCAAATTGTCCTTTATCCGTTTTTTCATGTATAATCCTTTAAAATAAAGAATTGCAATTCAGGGAAAAGATTGAGATTTATTTATTTAATTATAGCAGCTTTGTTATTTGTTAAGTTTTAAAATTCATTTTGAATAAAAAGTTTTATTTTCAGAAACTGGAATCAGAGATGAATCTATCTTTAATAAATGAAATGATTCCATACTTCCAAGCAAATATTAGGTATTTTATGAATAGATAGATACAAATCTAATGGGGATGGGGGGGGGGGGGAAAAAGAGGTCAGAAGGGGGGGGATTGTTCCCCCCCCCCTTTTGCAGTATCTGATTGAAGTTTCGTTATAATAATTAATTTTCTAGAAATAATAAATTTGTAACAGATTTTTATTTAAGTGCATACTAGTCATTTCTAATTATTTTTTTTATTAATTTTTGTATTGATAATTAAAAAATTATTCATTTTGAAATAATAGTATGCAAAGAATGTAATAACTGGATATCTCACTGTTTCTATTGTTTTTTTTTTGTTACTTTGTAACTTTTAGAGATTGCATTGTGTTCCCTTGTATTCTTGCATATCGAGTACCTGACAGTCAAGATGGAAACAGGTAGAAATTATTATCATTAAACTTTAATAATAATATATCATAACAATTTAACCAAATTATATAGTATTACACAACAGTGGATTGAATGGCACCTTTGTTCTTTCTTTGAATTTGAAATACCTCACGAGATTTGGCATTTATTTAAGCTTTATTTAACTTATATGATGTTTGATCTCGATATCCACTGTGGACACTTATAATTTAAGGATTTATGCTTTTCACTTCATTTCAGTTATTCCCCCTCCCTGAAAATAGCTCGCTTCAACCCCTGCAGATTAATTTAATCTTTTCGATTTATTGAGAGGAAATGAAATGCAGAGATGAAGCATTGATCCTCAAATCAAAAGTGCCTAATTAAGTATCTAAAAGTTTCCAGCTCTGGTACAGTTTTAGGGGTTAAGAAGTTACGAACTACTTGTCCATTTGTGGTAGTTATGAGAATAATCCAAACATAAACAATATGCTAATAAACTTGAAATTATTATTCTTGGCGGTTAGATTTATATTTTGATATGCAAGGAGAAGAAACACTGACAGAAGATGGATTTGTTTTCAATTCGATCCTCGGACTGCAGGAATAATCCAATTCGTCCAATTTTTCAAATATTTATTCACTATACTTTGTACTTTACAGAGTTTTCTATTTACACATGTTGCTTGTCTATTTGTTACAGGGGTGGCTTATGAAATTTTCCAGTAGGGGGGGGGGGGGTATAATTGAAAAATCGGACGCGAAATATGGCTGTTTCCCCATTGTACGAATAAGAAATCCTTGCAGATAGCTGATCAACAGAAAGCTGAAATTATCGTTAGTGCGTAGTGTAAAACTAATTATTTTATTTTTGAGAACTTTTTAAGCACTGTCAATATTTTCTCAAAATGGGAATGTATAGATAAAATTTAACTCGACAAAGATATGCGTTATTAAACCTGGATACCAAAAAATCAATATATGATACATATTTCACAGCTGAGGCAACTTCATGCATTTTCAAGCTATGCCAATCGGAGGCTACTAAATGGGGGACAATTTGAGGGCGAAACAAATGGGCGCCTTTAATTCGATTTTAATTAACGGACTCCAGGAGCACTGGAAGTCTTGGGTACGAGCACCACATTTTCCCCCTCTCACCCAAAAGTTTTTAGAAAAGTAATTAATTCACTGTTAAACTGATCGGATTCTTCTCAATAGAATTTCGGGAGAGATTCGGATTAGACGATATTTGTAACAAAGACCGGGGTTATCTGGCGTATCCTACAGGTAATATAAATATTCCAATTATTTTTTAGTGTTAATAGTTTTTATTTGATTATTCTTCAAATCTATATTTGGTTCCAAATAATTTAACAATTGAAAAATACGTAAAACAACACAGACTATATAAATTGTAATTTGATTTAAACTTTAAAATGAAAATTTATAAGTTTTTATTGATAGAATTATTTATACCATCAATAATGAGTATCATGATGTAGTTGAACTAGGTACAGTTAGTTGAAATACTTGTCTTGTGCCCTCTTGGCCATGCTAGAATAGTTCAACTTCTCGGGATTCATTAAATCCTATCTTTGGTTCTGGTACCTAAACTCTAACTGTTAAACTTATTTCTCTGATGAAAACTAACCGTAACTAAACCCGTTCAAAAAATTGCCAGAAGAGTCATCTTAACCCCAACGCCGACCAATGACTAGCCCTAAACCTTAAAAGGGTTGACCAATGATAATTCTCGAAGCATTTGTCTTTTACTCTTGAGCCCTCTCATTGGTCGAAAGCCTAGCGGTATTGTTCGTACAATCATTCAACAAAAAGAGAGATTTTTGATTATTATGCACCCTCTAGAAGACGCTGTGCCCCCCCCCCCGCCCCTTAAAAACCCCTATTTTGAAGAAGAAAAAAATTAACCCCCTGGAAGTTAGGTTTTTTGTTTGTTTCCGCGGAGCGCAATACAAATTTTCAGAGTTATTTTACGAGCTGAATTTTGTGTAAAAAAATTTAAAAAAGGATGAAAAAACTTGCCTTTTAATGTCTTGTAATTTTTTTCCCCCAAATCATATCATTTTATAATTACACGAGTAGGGGAGGCACGTGCACCCAGTGCCCCCACCCCTCTCGTACGCCCCTGGTCGAAAGCCTAGTGGTATTGTTTAAAAATCATTCAACAAAAACGAAAGATTTTTGATTTTCGCAGGTTTTAAATTTTCATTCAAAAACTAAAATTTAAATCTGCGAATAAAAATAATCCAACCCAGACCCTTAAATATGTGTGTTTAGGTTGTAGAGTTACCAGCTCTGGGTCTAACATATATATATCTGGAGGAGCGTTTGATCCTGCCAGAAACTGGTGGAACCTTCATATATTCAGAATATCCTTTCCTAGGTTACAAATTCTCAACTTTAAATAATGGAAGAAAAATACTTAAATTTCATTCTTGAAAAATATTATTTCAATATTTCGATCATTCTCCTTGTGAAACAAGAAACTACAAGGCTCATTCTTCTGTTACCCAATTTCCCAGTATTTCTTTTTAAATATCAGACTTTAAAAAGAAGTAAATTTTTTTTCTAGTGGAACATGTGAAATAGTGGGGAAATTATCTGAACCAAGACGACATCACAGCGCTGTTATCATTGGTATGATTAATGATAAATATAAAAATAATGCTTCTGAAATATCTAGGCAGCTATAATTATGTAAAGTAGTAACCTCTGTCTACTGTTTTTGTTGTTGTATGTCCTATCATAATTCACAAACCCTTGACCGATTTGTCTCAAATTTGGATAGGGGAGCTCGGTAAAACCTTGGGAAAGTTTTAAAAATTTTGTTTATTGACTTTAGCATGGAAAGTTTTGATTTCCAGGCAAAGCTGGGTTAATGAGAAAGCCATAACGAGTTGTTATTAAACCTAGTCTGAGAAAAGTTTGTTATGATGATCATTGATAGAAATTGACACGTGTTATCATTAAATATAAGTTAAAAGGATTCGTAACTTTCATTCATTTTGTTAACAAGCTTATTTTAGCGTCAAAAATAATATTGTAAAATAAGTGTGTATTTTTTTCAATTTACCAGTGCAGACCGAATTTAATTTAAAAGCGAAGATGGTAAATTATCTCATTAATAATGATTTCTCAGCATTTTTATTTTTCCTGTCTGGCATTAAAGGGAGTGTTTGCGAAAAATGAAAGGGGGTATAGGCTTAATGCGATATAAAAGCGATTTTGCTCGCTACAAATCTTACTTCTATCTGTTGCGTCTATAAGGAGAAAATTGTTAAAAACGTCTCATACCGAATAACATGGCATTATTGGCGTCCATACAAATTGAGAAAATTGCAACATACGACTTAGACCGTAAAAAAATCAATTTAATTTCAAACAAATCATTCAGATATTACAACCTATAGTCATCGATTATCTTTCGCCACATTTATATATAGTTGATTTTTCATAATATGTTTTAATTGTTATGATCTGAGAGTTACTTATAAAAACGTTTATTCCTGTTTCGAGGATTTTTGGTAATGAAGACGACATTTTCATATTTTCCAGGAATGTTCGAAAACAAGTTG